ACAATAAATCTTGCCTTTTCTCTCAAAATTTCCATACCTAGAAAATAATGTATATTTCCCAAATTCTTGACCTTGAATTCAGTATTTAGAAAGTCCTTGATGTGCTAAATTTCTTCTAAGTCATCCCCAGTGAGTAGTATGTCATTGACATAGACATCTAGGATAGAAATAAGGTTTCCTATCCATTTAAAGAACAAAGAATAGTCATTTAATGATGAAGAGTATCCCTCAAAACTCAAAGCCCCTGCAAGCCTAGCATACCATTGCTTGGAAGCATGTTTTAAACCATACAATTATTTCCTCAATAGGCAAACATGTTTGGGGCTAGGAAGTTTTAAACCTGCTGGGAACCTCATGTACACCTCTTCTTGTAGATCACAAAGCAGAAATGCATTGTTAAAATCTAATTGAGACACATTCCAATCTCTCTTGGCTATAATAGTAAGTAAGCACCTTATGGTTGTCATCTTTACCACTAGTAAAAAGGTCTTACTATAATCTATGCCTTTTCTTTGGATATCCCCCTGATCACTAGCCTTGCCTTCAACCTTTCAATTCTGCCATTCTGACAAGTATTTTACCTTGTACACCCATTTACAAGGTAGATCTCTTTTTCCTTTAGGTAATTCAACCACATCCCATGTGTGGTTGTCCTCTAGAGCTTTAATCTCTATATTCATAGCTTCTATCCAACCTGGATATTGACAAGCTTGGCTATAAGTATAAGGCTCTATTAGTGTATAAAGGGATTGCATCACATGCTGATTATTAGGTGAGAGAGATAAGAAACAATATTCCCTAGGCTTTCAAGGTTGAGAAAAATAAGTTGCTGCTACATCTGTAAACATGATACTACTTCACACATAATCTTTCAAGTAGGTTGGTTGATTAGAAACCCTTCCTGACTTTCTTAGTGGTATAGGTTCCTGTGGTATAAATATATGTGATATATTGTGTGGTGAGTCTAGGATGTGGAAAAGTGAAAGTAGGCTAGGAGACAATTGATGATGGTGGGGAGTATATGAAGGACTTGATGATGGTAGTGAGAAGACATTTGCTACTTCTGATTCTGAGGAAATAGGTAATGAGTGATCCTGTGATGAGATTGATTAAGTAGGTTATATGGTGAAAGGTGAGGTTGGAAAAATAGGGTGGTGTGATGTATTGATTTCAGCAGGGAAGTGTGCTTCATGAAAGTTCACATCCCTGGACACAAAAACTCTCCTTGTGGACAGTTCCAGTAATTTGTATCCCTTTTGATGAAGAGGGTAACCAAGTAGAACACAAGTTGTTGCCCTCTTATCAAACTTCCCTCTTACTTGTGCTAATATATAGGCATAACACAGACACCCAAAGTTTCTCAAATAATCATACTTGGGTTTTTGCTGAAATGGGACCTCATGTGGTGTTTTTCCATTAAGAACACTAGAAGTTAACCTATTAATAAAATGTATGGCAGTCAAAATAGATTCACCCCAATATGACATATGCAACCTGGATTGAAACATTAACCCTCTTGCAATCTCTAAAAGGTGTCTATGTTTTCTCTCAACTATCACATTCTGTTAAGGAGTTGCTACACAAGACAGTTGGTGCAGAATTCCTTCTAAAGCTAGAAAAGTTGGCTCTTGTGTGCCCTTCCCCAATTCTAGTGCATTGTCGAATCTTCTCATTCTCACTTTTATATTGAACTGCCTTTCAACCATGGATAGAAAAGATTTAAGTATAGGAAAAACATTGCTCTTAGCACTTAATAATAATGTCCATGTTCCTCTACTATAGCCATCTACTATAGTAAGAAAATATTTGAACCCATTATAGGTATTGGACTTATAAAGTCCCCATGTGTCTACATGTATAAGATCAAAAATATGTTTGGACTTGATGGTGCTGACAGGAAAAGGATTCCTGGTTTGTTTAGCCTTAGGACAAACATCACAGATAAATTCAGAACTTGAGTCACAATGAAGGAAATCTAAATGTTTCATTGTTGGAAATGGGAGATGTCCCAATCTTACATGCCAAAACTTAATATTAGGAGTAGCATTAACATGAACTAGACTAGAAAAAGAAATAAACTCTGAAATGGAATTTCTTCCTTTTGGAATTGAAGATACATTACTACTGAACAGAACCTTAGACTTAAGACTACTTGGTTCCAATATGTAGAGTCCCTTTCTAACTTCACCAAAAGCTTGTGGACTCTTCATTGAAAGGCCCTACAACACACATCCAATAGATGTGAATAGGACATCATATTTGAACTGAATACAAAACCTATTAACTGACAATAAATTGTATTTGAAATCTGAAACATGTAGCACATTGTTCAAGACATGACCTGGTAGAATAAAAATACTTCCTATATGAGTAACAATCACCTTGAAAGAGTTAGGTAAACTGACGTTCAAAGGTACAGGAAGTGAGTTAGAAACAGAAAAGAATTAGGATCAAAACACATGTGCTCTGAAGCACCTGAATCAATGATCCAGGTGTATGAATTTAGAGTAGTAAACATTGAACCTGAGTATTTTAGAATAGTACCAGCAACTGCTTTAGCATTGATTCCTGAGTTTCCTGCGTGTGCCAACTTTGCCTGCTTATACATGTTCATCATTTCTGCAACTTGTTCCTTGTTGAGTTGATGCCCAAAGTTGATATTGTTGTGTTCAGTACTTTGTCCTCCTGTATTCTCATGTTCTTGTATTAAGACTGTATTTCCCTTGATTTGATTCTAGTAACCTTTGTGATTGGTAAATTCAAAATCATCTGGAAATCCAATGATTCTGTAGTAGTCTTCTTATGCATGTCATGTCTTTCCACAACAAGTATAATATATATTTGGATTGTACTTCTTCTTTCCTTTAAACCTCTGTTGAGGTTAAGAAAACTTCTGTCATGAATTGTTGTATTTAGGTGTTATGACTGCACCTCCTTGTGGTTGGTTTCTATTTTTCTGAAAATTCATGCTCTGTCCTGTGACCGTAAAAGCTGCAAAATCAACTAAAAGCTGGGCATTAGGTTGTTTGGCCTCTCCAGCTGCCATGAATGAAACTGAGTCAGAGTTGAAGTGTGCATTTGCATAAACTTCTCTTTGATTTTTATCTTGCAAAAGAAGTGAATAAGCAATATCCATGGTAGAGAAAGGGTTCATCATGAGAATATTTCCTCTTGCTTGTGCGTAAATATCATTCCTCTGATCTTCAAGGGACTTAGTCAACTTTGCCTTTCCTTCACAAACACAAACATATGAACAACATATGATAACATTCAAAGCATATAATTCATCCTAAAGTCGTTTGAGCTTAGTGAAGTATCATGCAATGTCACTATTACCCTGTACTAATCCCGATAGCTCCTTATGCAGATGATAAAGATTGTCTCCATTTGATCTTCCAAATCTCTGCTCCAGGCTGTCCCAAACTCTTTTGCAGTTTTTGAGTATATCACATTGTCTGCAATATCCTTTGAGAGAGCATTCAGGATCCAAGAAATGACCATGTTATTGACACAACTCTATTGCTCGTGATCTGGATATTTCATATTTGGAGATTGACAAGCTCCATTGACGAAACCAAGCTTCTTCTTGGCTGACAATGATAGGAGAATAGATCCCCTCCATCCTTGATACCCTCTTCCATCAAACACAGTATTGACTAGAGTCATTCCAGGTGAATCATAATTGTTGAGATGATAAGGATGATTGACATCATAACTGACTAGCTTTACAGGATTGCTAGTATCACCGGTAGATGTGATGGTTATTTTAGGCATCTTAGCTTACTGATTATGGAGATGAATTTGATGTAAATGAACTAAATGATTGAGCTGTTGGATTGAGCCTATTGCTCTCATACCATGTACGAATTGAAGAAGAAACTGAAGAAAAAAAAACTGTGTATTTCATCACTGTTATTTTACATGTATATACACACTTACATCTAAAAAATAAAGAATAGCAGGAAAGAGAAAACTATGTACACTTGTCCTATTCTAATTTGCCTATTAATAATAGATTTATTTTCTTTACACAACTAACTATATTCCCTCACATGTTAGTCACGTGAGGGAAGCTTCTAGTATTAAAACTATCTGATAGTCTTTAATTAATCTATTATGAGTTGATTGAGTTGATCCAAAAACTAGGGCTCTTCCACATGTTCCAAGCAGTAAGCTGAGTATAACCCGTATAACATAGGTTATATCGAACACAACACATTTGGTCGGAACAAATGAGGTTCTAGGTCATCTTCTTCTTCACCCCCTCGTCTCCATCTCTAGGCAAAACTTCATGAAAATTAAAATTAGGACGGGTTTCTTCTTCCCAACATTATCTTTTATATATAACAATATTTGTTTTAGAGTTTTTGAAACGTAGATACATATATATCAATGTTAAATTACAGACTACCAATTTGAAAAGTTAAATTAATTGTGCATGGAACACCAAATCAATTTATTTTACCTTACTTTTCCTCTCAGTAAACGAAATATTCATTATATTCTAAAAATTTGAAAAGAGAAAAAAGAACCCGTAGAAAAACGAAACTGCAATAACCTTTATCTTTTTAACAATACGCTTAAAATGGGAATAATATACAAACCCCGATTCTAATAAAAGAAAGTGAAAACGAAATAGCGAAAGAGAAGGGGAACAAACCGTCTGAATAGGTCAAGCAAGTTACCATATGCCTCCTGTAAACTATAAAATCTCCTCGTCCTCATCCATCTTCTCTTTTGCCGTTAGAAAATTTCATAGGAAAGTAAATTGGGGCTAAAAATGATGGACCTTAATTTTTTCACTAATGATAGTAAATGTTATTTTTCTTCAGGACATTTTTAAAACATTGACATAATATATTACTAGTCAATAACTTTATCAAGAAAAACATTCACGAAAAATATATTTCCTCCCAAATAAAAAAATACCTTTAAAAAAAAAAAGCGAAAAGATCATTCACAAAAGGATATCTATTTTTTTCCAAAGGACATTTGTTGGATAATTACTTTTCAATTGGCTGGGTGGGAGTTTCCTAATTCCTATATCTGGGTTTTCAATTCTCTAAAATTGTTCATTTCGGAATTTTAAATCTCTAAGTTCCCAATTCAAGAATTTTTCCATTTAATTTCTGCACGTATATCCATTTACGTACAAGCACTAGTCTCCCTGCAACCTGCAAACCTGACCACCTTTCCATATATATTTAGCTTAGGGTTCCCAATCCCATTGCAGAAAACCACCCCACCTTACCATTTTTCTTCCCTATTAGCTCTTTCTTTCTTTCTTTCCAAAACGAATTGAAGAATATGGCAGTGAAAGTAACAAAAGGTGAGAAGAAGGTTAACTATGACAAGAAGCTATGCAAGCTTCTGGATACATATCAACAGATCCTAATTGTGGGTGCAGATAATGTGGGTTCTAATCAGCTACAGATGATCCGCAAGGGATTACGTGGTGACTCTATCGTTTTAATGGGAAAAAATACAATGATGAAGAGGTCTATTAGGATCCATGCCGAGAAGACCGGCAATAATTCATTCCTTGCCCTCATCCCTTGCCTTGTGGTTTGTTTTACACCTTTTTTCTTCATTATATATATATTACATCTTATCTACTATGTGTTTTCTTACTGCTTGTTTTTGTTGTGTTTTATTACTGCTTATTTGTTTGGTTGTGTGATATATAGATTATCTTTTTGGGTCTTTCTTATTTTGGTTTTGTTTCTTGGGACCAGAGAAATCGGTACACATTTTGATTTAAAGTGCTCTTATGTATATGTGTAAATTTTTGTCTCAATATTTTATTTTATTTTATTTTATTGGAAATGAACGTTCAGATTGTCACACTAGAAATTAAACTTATTTATTTCTGTTTTTGAGATCCATTAATTCTTTTTTTGGATAGAGGAATATCTTTTTAGAATCAGATCTGGCTTCGTACTAATAATAATGGGTTGTGGGATTTTTTTACGTCTGTAAGATGATCCTTTTTTTCTTTCTTTCCTTTTCGGATCACTGTTATTTTGGTTTCTTGGGACTAAAGGAATAGGCACTGTTTTTCCTTAAGAGGTAAGGTAGAGGGACTTGAGCTGGAATTTGGCTAGTTTATTGTAGCTATTATTATTGTTGTTATTTCTACATTTTATTATTCCATAAATAGATTAGAAAAAATGTTTCTAAATAGAGCAGAATATGTAGAAGATTCATATCATCAATTCAACTATAGAATTTGGCTTGTGTGTCAATTTAAGCTATCTTTAGTTGTTGCCTAATGGTTCTTCCCGCCCCATATATATGTAATATTGTAACAGGGTAACGTGGGATTGATCTTCACTAGAGGAGATCTGAAAGAAGTCAGTGATGAAGTATCCAAGTACAAGGTATAATGTAAATTATGACCACTTTTTCCTTTCTCGTTTCCCATTTTCTTCTTTTCCCAAGTCATTGTGATCTGGCTGCTTAGTTTTGCAATATTTGATGATAAAACGCCATACAAAATAGTTTTACATTTATCAATCTTCACTTGGTTTTCTTGAGTTGTGTATACTTAGTTTATCTGAAGTATGAGAATTCTAACTTTAACACTTGATAAAAAAAGGTTGGAGCACCTGCTCGCGTTGGCCTGGTTGCACCAATTGATGTGGTTGTTCCTCCTGGAAACACTGGACTTGATCCTTCCCAAACCAGTTTCTTTCAGGTTCAATATAATTCTTTGAATATTTCCTAAGCTGCTTATGCTTTTATCTATATGGATAATCTCAAGACACCTTGTTTTTAGGTACTCAATATCCCAACTAAAATCAACAGGGGCACGGTTGAGATCACCATCCCTGTGGAGATTATAAAGAAGGGGGAGAAAGTCGGCTCATCTGAGTCTGCACTTCTGTCTAAGTTGGGTATTAAGCCATTCTCTTATGGTCTCATAGTCCAATTTGTCTATGACAGTGGTTCTGTTTTCAGTCCTGAGGTTCTTGACCTCACAGAAAATGATCTTATTGCTAAGTTTGCTGCTGGACTTTCCAATGTTGTTGGTCTTTCTATGCTTCTTTCATATCCTACTCTTGCTGCTATTCCTCACATGTTCATCAACGGGTACAAGAATGTTCTGTCATTTGCCATAGCAACAGAATACTCATTCCCACAGGCTGAAAAAGTGAAAGAGTACCTGAAGGTTAGCACTTTGTGCAATTCTTGACAGACCTTTATATAATTAATTAACCTGTTCTTCTCGACATAATCTGAACAAAAAATTTTAAACTTGCAGGACCCAAGCAAGTTTGCTGCAGCTACTGCTGCCCCCGTTGCTGCTAAACCTGCTGCTAAACCTGCTACTGCCAAGGAGGAAAAGAAAGAAGAACCTGCTGAGGAGGACGATGATGACTTTGTCGGCGGATTGTTTGATTAAGTAGTTCAATCTAGTGACGGCTTCAGGTCCTGCCTATATTAGCAATGATGAATGCTATTATGGGTGTCTATTAGGATGCTTTTAAACAATTTCCATTTTGCTTGCTATCATTCCGATGTTTCATGCACTGATGTATTAGTTCTGTTGTTTCAGTGGAGTTCTAACTTTTGGGTTTGTGTTATCCTTGGCATTATGCGCCTCTCATTGGCTTTGATTGTTGCATTTGGGGATATCTATATGCTTCTTTGCCTTAGCTTATAATATAGAATCAGCATGCAATATAGCTCTTTGGTTCATAGGAATCATGCTCTAATTTAATTTGCAATGATGTCCAAAAGATTAGACTACCTGGATAAGGATATCCATTTGAAAGTTAACTTTCATTCATAGTTGGAGAAGAGATTAGCTGATCTTGTTACAAACAGAAATTTCCAGAGTGCAGAATTTCCTTGGTGATGATATTAAGTTATGCTTTGAGTTCAAAGAGTTGCTCAAGTAGAAAGAGGATTACTATAGTTGCTTTATATTTGCTAAGTGGTGGAATCCACGAAGGGCAATTTGGAGAGAGCAAAAGCATGCTCTTCTCAGTCTAATAAGCTTCCAGTTAGCTTAAAGCTCATTGTTACTCCTTTTCGCCTTTAGATGAAAAGGCCCAGAAAATTAATCTCTTCCTCCACAAAATGTCAGTGTAGCTCCCCTACTAATTTGCAGTTACGTTCATAGGTGATGGGGCTTCTAAGAAAAGAAATGCTCACGATTATGCTTTCAACCTTTCACTAAAATCAGCAGTGTGGCATTTACCATGTTAATTTTTTTATTTAGTCCGGAGATTCTTGAAATTGAGAATCTGCATACGGTAAAAACACACGCTAGAATTTACATGTTACACATTAGTGTACATTTACAACTCTCTTTATCACTATTTTTCCTTATAATGCAGCTTTTTTCCAACTATAATAAAATCGTTGAGAACTAAAAGTATGATAAGACAGCCGCAAGGAAAATGCCAACATTTAAATGGACCCAGATGTTCTTGTTCCTTCCACCCATAGTCGCCTTAACAAGGTTTGATGTCTGTTTTCACACTGTACATAGTCAATATATATTCAGTTCCAATAATGCATAGCGAACTACAAGGAAAAAAACTAACCTTCATGCCTGGACCATAAATTGGTTGTTTGTAGCAACGGAATAAATAATAGAGAATCACAATCTTGCACTAAGTTGTTTATCACACTTGTTGAAGACAATTTCGAAAGAAGCGTATTCCCTGAGCCAAAATCAGCGTCATATGTTAGTTGCATCACTTCATCTTTTAAAAGCATTCAAATATGATTAGCAGGTGCCTCTAAGAAACCAGATCAGAAAAGAGGGACGAAATAAGTTTATACCTGCAATGCAAAGGTGATGTCTGCTTCATCAACCTTTAGAGTTACTCTACTTAATTTTTCTTCTCGAGCCTTTCCTACCTTTAGAATCCCCTGCAATTATATTTACATCTTGAGCTATGCTTCTTCCCATTCTTTAACTAAGCACTCATGATTGAGAAAAATAAAGAGAAAAGGAAACTTGAAATGGAGAACATGTAGTTTACATGCTTTTCAAGACTTTTACCTGGTCTCCTAGCACTCTACACATGCTTGATAGCTCCATGATTCCAACTGGTGGTATTAAAGTTGATTTACAGACATCGAGGTACGAGATGTTCAGCTGCAACAGAATATAGAATGTTTCACATCTTGTTTCTCCTTATGCTATTTAAATCTCACCGTTATAGTAACAAATAGAAATTACCTCGCCTATTGTCGCATCCTTCTTCTTCCCCCTGAATAGCTTGACAGCAGAGCAAAGTATAATCTGCAGCAAAGTACATTTAAGCATTACTCACCACCACCATGTGATTTTTATATACACATACATGATACAACAATAATCTAGAAGGACCTCATAAAAGAAGTGGCTCCATTGAGCAGTTTTTTTCGAGCGTTAATAGATTTGCAAATCACTAAAATCCTACATTCTATGATGATGCTTTTGGTAAAGAGGAAAGACATCCCATGCAAAACAACTTTTGAATCTAGCTCTTGCATTAAATGCCTGCCAATACAGCACAAATATTTGAATACTTCAACCATAATCCAATAGCTTTCGTCTTTCGTTCTTTGCTTTTTATTTTCTCCTTGTTGGGGGTGGGGGTGGGGTGGGGGGTCCTTTGGTAGTCGAGAACTCTCTTGTACTAAACTGACTAGGAAATTAAACCAAATGAGCATTAGATATCTTCTTATGTCAAGACAGCCAGGAACGTTTACCTGTTGATGTTGTGGAAGTGATTGTATAGTATCCACCACCGGCGATCTATATGCCTTTGATAAAGCAATAGCCACATGATCGACCCTAACCTGTTAAAGAGTTCCAACTTATAAGAAAACACAAAATGCAGCATAAAAAGTAAAAGCAAATGAGGATACATAATTAAGTTACAGCTAAGTTCTAACTGGAGATTAAGGGACCAAGATAATAAACTACAAGAAGTGCTATTTATGAACTAGATATAGAGTGCTGGACTCTTTTTCAAAAAAAAAAAAAAAAGATAGATTGCTGGACAATGTGCTCATTGAATAATGAAAATTTTAGTAGTAACAAGCGGTGCACTGAAACTAGTAGTACCCATTTACTAAGCAGGTTCATAAGGGAGAATATACATCAGTAGCTCAGGCTGGAATACTACTATCAATTGATTATAACAATTCAACTAAACTTGTCTGCTTTTATCACATAAGAATAATGAGGACCCTAGGTTGATAACGTACACCTTAGTTATGTGATTTCCGATCTTCAGGCCTTAGAATTGTCATTTATAACTCTCAAATACTTCTCTTTTTTAGAAAGCTAACAGTGATAATTCTCAAATACTTATACATAATGCTTTCCTTAGGCCTGGTATGTTGTAGAACTGGATATCTCAATGGATCTCAAGGTAACAAACGAGCACAAATGTGAAGCAGCAGCAGTTCAAAACTAACTTTAGTCTGCAGTACCATTACCCTTCGGCCTACCCTTTGAAATTCTAGAAATTATTAATATCTACAGCTACAAGAAACTTAATAATATGGAATCAGAGAAAAAGAAGCAACAAGAAAAAACTATACAGCTGCTGAAGTTGGGAATCACGCTATGACTTGGCTTATAAAAGCCACACAGACCCTCTCAATCATAGGTCCTCCAGAATCAATAGTTTGACAAACTCAAAACCATTAACAAGTGAAATGACACTAATACTCACAACATTGCTTTCGTGTATAGGTGATTTATCGCAAGCGCCATCTCTCTGTTGATGAGAAACTCCCCCGTGTAATGATGGTAAATCAAGACTGCTGATAGAATCTCTTATTTCAGCTTCTAACATCTCAATTGCACTCCTGAAACAATGATGGAAGGAAAGAATTACTTTTAATCAAGGGAAAACAATACAACAAGCTATTGAAACATCCGTGATATATGATCCTCTGCCTAAATGAAGAACTTAAGCATCAGTTCTGGAAAAGTTGCATAGTTATCTGCTAAGGATACTTTCAACAAAACTTAAACACCCCCACCCCACCCCCCCAAAGGCAAATAACTCATACTGCCACAAATAGACAGGCAAACTGTAGATATAGGTTCGCTTAGATGCCCGATGCTGCCGGTTTAGTTAAGTACCAGCGTATCACTTTATGACGAGAACGCGATCTCGTCAAATAAAATAATAAAGTAGTTAGGCCATAATCTATATGAAATCAGGAAATTTTGTCAAACTGTGATCAGCCTATCTTGCAGTAATATTCACCAACCTGCAAACCCATAGAGCCTTCCTCATATCTCCAGATGCGGAAGCAACTTTCTGTCACATTAGAAGCACTTACATTAGGAAACTGAGAATTATTTTGAAATAAATAAATCTTGGATTAGTAGTTTGAAGTAGCAAGGAATAAATGAGTGCCACTAGGATTCTCTTACTGCACAAGTAAACAAAAAGAAATCAAACTAAGTAAAACACAGATGTCACAGTACCTACCCTTGCACATAGTTCCAATGCTTGAGGCTGAAAGATAGTGTAAGGAAATACCTGTTCAAGTAGTCAAAATTGTCATACAAAGTCTATTAATTACAGAACCATAAGAAATGATTTTGCATCCATGCTTTGTGCAGATAACATACACAGATGTAAATATCACCAGCAATCTACACATTTTTTTACCTCAAATCTTTGCTGAAGAATGGAGATGATCTGGTCCTTAGAATAGGCACGAAATGTTATAACTGCAGGCTTGCCTGAAAAAATAAAGCACAAGTCAGAGATTAAATACCGGTGTACATACAAAAAGTAATCTAGCATTAGTTGCATTGACAGGTTAATTGGCAAGCAGGTCCTTTGTACCACAACCTTGAGAAGAGCTGAATGGGCTAATTTTGTGAAAGAAAATTCATACAACACAAAAAATCAAAGAATCCCATAACCAAAGCTAGTTAGTTTTCCTCTCTCAAATTGCTTGCGTCAAGACAACAAATTTTCGCAGCAGTCATCAAGCATGGTCTGACAATTTTTAAACTCATACTTCCTGTATTAAATTTAAGAAGCTTGGAGAAAAAAATTTGTTAACACCTTGAAGACCTAGGTCCAAAAGTTAACACCTGTTTAACCTCTCCTTCCAAAACTAAATGGAGTCAACGAAGATGGAAAAGAATTTAGAAAGAAATGAATCTGACAGGAAGGGAAATACTCACAGTTCAAGGATTGTAGCTTTGGAAGAAATCTATCTGCTAGGTCTATTGCATTAGCAATTCCTGTCAAAAGCAGAGCCCAATATGAATAACCATAGTAATACCAAAAGTAGTACTAGAAAAAAAGTTAAATGATTAGACCAAGATATTTTGATCATTACAGTCTAAGAGCACCAGTACCTATCAGAACAAATCTGGAGAAAGGAAACGTTGTTAGCATGAACAGCTCATGAAGCACGACTCTGTCTTTTGTGATTAAATAATCCAACTCATCAGCAACTATTAACCTGTTCAATTGTTAAGCAGACAAGTAGTTTGATTAAGAAAATCTAACAAGCACTATAACTGCTTCTTTGAGTTGAAATGACTTTCTTGACTTTTAGGCGTCCGATGGTTTAATTTGAAATACAACAGAATCTT